ATTTTCCGTAGCTTTTTTGTCTACTCAGTGGCTATCTCTTAGATTTCTTTCATTTACAGCCTTAAGTATACTTTAGGTTTCTCATGAGCATCTCCTTTTACTATATATTTTATTTTCAGTTTTTTATTCGTTTTTGGTATTAGGGCATCACCAATTATGTACATCGTGGATATAAGTCTTTTCTCATTCTTATAGAGCATTCTTCTAATGTCGATTGTAATTATTTTCCCATTGATTTTTATGTCGATCTTTTGAGAAGTTGATTTTTATTGTGTTAAAATTGTGTTTTTCTGGTCACTTAGTTTTTAAAACGCAGAACTCTGGATCAGTATTTTTCTGTCTGGATTTCCAAATGTTTTATCTTCTAGAAAATACATTTCAAAATATAACCTGTCTTAAATCATACGATTCCGGATGAATTATCAGGCATTCTGCTAGTTAAAAATCTCGTGTCACGATGTTTGTCCAAGCTAATATTAAAAAATCAATGAACAGATTGCAATAAAATTTTGTGAAAGTGTAATTGTTGGTCCAACTTGGATATAGGATATTAATTTTTTATCTCGATGAATGACGCTTTTTGAGTTATCTGACTCAATTTGGCTTATTTTTTAATTATAAGTTCAAAATGTTTTATAGCTCTTCAGTTTTAGTTCATTTGATTCGTTTTTGTTATACGTCATTTTATGATATTTTATAACTGAATATAAAATATCATAAACTGACGTTTAACAAACATCATTTTATACTTTTATAATTTTTTTATAATAAATCGAGAACGGCTGAATCGATTTGGCTTATTTTGGTTTTGAAATAATTATTTGAAGTCCTAGGAAGGTCTAATAGGTGAAAAAATATGATGAAATTATAAGAATTGTAGAAACAACGGTTTTATTTTCCCATAACAACAGTTTCATTATACCCTTATACAAAATTTTGTATAAGACTCTACCTCTACTACAGTGGTAATTTATTTAAACATAAACTTACGTTTAACAAACTAATTTCACGTCTATTTACTTTGTTCGTTTCGCATAAACTCGAATTAAAATACATTGTAAGAAAAATAGTAAAAGCATTTTTATTTTCCCATACGAACAGTTATAATATACTGATTTATACCATATACCATCATATATCAACTTTTATCAGGATATCAAGATATACAAGAGTGCGGTGCGACCTGCTTTGGTGTACGGTGGTAAAGTGTGGCATGTAAAGAAGATTCAAGAAAAGAAGATGAAGGTAGCTGAAATGAAAATGTTACGTTAGCTAAAACTTGAAGGGACGGGATCGGGAACGTCCTGATTAGGGAAAACCCGGTCTTAAAAAAAAATTACCGGTCTTTTATCTCTACAGTCCAAAAAAGATTCGAGAACAATGACTGCAATGGTTTGGTCATGTCAGACGTAGAGGTGAAAACTATGTGGGACGGAGGATAGAGCTGATAGAACTGTGTGGCAGAAGACAAGAGAGAAAGGTTTAGGTGAATAAGAAAAGATGGACTGAAATGATTGGCGACGAAGAGTAAGGAACAGCAACCACTGAAAAGGAAAAAGCTGAGGAAGAAGAAGAAATCAGTATGTGGCATATCAGACTACCCTACAGTAAGAGGGTCATCGTTTTTTTTTTCATTAAAAAAACTATTAGAGTTAAATCGCTTCAACTGTTCACTTTTTGAAATTTTTAATAAAATACTACGTTTTCGACTTGAAGAGGCTTATGTTCAGATGTGGACGTGAATGGCTAGACGAAGAAGAAGACGTTTTCGGCATGTTGGTGTTGAACCAAGTATTTAAATATGCAGAATCGGTTTTTTATTCGATCGTTTGATCGTCAGTCACATGAAACAATACGTAACAATCCTCGACAAATTCCACCAAACCTTGTTCTGAGATATGAACTGAAAGTTAATATATTTTTTTCATTAACAGAACTAACATAATTTATAACATAATAACTAACACATTTCTTTTCATTAAAAGAACTATTAGAGTTAAATCGCTTCAACTGTTCACTTTTTGAAATTATTAATAAAATACTACGTTTTTGGCATGTTGGTGTTGAACCAAGTATTTAAATATGCAGAATCGGTTTTTTATTCGAGCGTTTGATCGTCAGTCAGGTGAAACAATACGTAACAATCCTCGACAAATTCCACCAAACCTTGTTCTGATAATATATGAACTGAAAGTTAACATATTGTCTTCGATTTGTTAGAAATGCTTTAAACGAATCTAGAAGTATTTCCCGTACTCCATACGCTTGCATTCTATTTATAAGAATTTTGTGGTTCACGCAATCAAACTTCCTGCTGAGACCACAAAAGATCCGAGCAAAATCTTCTTTGGACCTGCTCAGATCATAAGATATCCTATTAGTGTTGTGCCATTAGAATAAAATAAACCGGCATTAATATATGTTTCGTTGCTCTTCAGAAGACATTTGACCGGTTTTAATTAAAGGACGTTATCCATTTATTGTAAGCAATAGAGATATATCTAAGAATAATCAAAATGATCGAAAACATCTACCAAAATAACACAATAAAAGTAAAACTAGAAGGAGAACTAACCGACCCTATTGAAGCTGGCGATTGATAAGACGCTTTAGTTCCACCTGATTATAGATGAAATAATAAAAAAGTAAGAACTACAAAATGATACCAAATGTGAGAAAAACAACTTAAAATAATCTGCTATGCAGACGACGCAATACTACTCTCTCGAAGTGAAGATGATTTACAACGTATGCTGCACAAATTTAATATAACAGCCAGAAAATTTAACATCTTAATTTCTTCAAAAAAGACAAAATTCGTGGTTATAACAGCAAATATACTAATATGTAAATTGGAGCTGGAAGGTCAGATCATAGAACGTCATCATCATCACGTAGCGCTACAACCCTGGGTGGGTCTTGGCTGACTGTACAACTTTTTTCCAATTTGTTCGGTCTTCCATCAACCTAGGGTCAAATGGAATGTTCATTTTTTGGAGATCTGCTTGGATGTTATCTCTGCATTCTGTGTCGTCCGAGTGGTTTTTTGCCTGTGCGAATCTCCTCCCACATAGAACAAGTGATGAAGTTTAAATATCTAGGCATCACATTATCTAGCTACGGAAAGCTCGAAATTGAAGTGGAAGATCAAGTGAATAGAGCAAACAGAGCCGCAGATAGCCTGAATGAAACAATATGGGAAATAAAAATATCTAGAAAGAACTGAAAGACAGAATTTAGAAAACAGTCATCAGACCAATAGTGATATACGCGGCAGAAACACGACCTGACACAGAAAAGACAAAAAGGATGTTAAAAACAGCAGAGATGAAAACACTTAAATATGTTGATAGTAAAACACTATGGAACAGAATTAGAACTACAGATATACGACGCGACGTATGCCAACAAATAGAGTAGTAAAGACGACAAGACACGGTTCCCCAATAGGAAAACGATCGGTAGGAAGACCACGAAAACGATGGAACGACGACTTACCGGGGGCACATTGAAAAATAGACAGTCATGTTTACATAAGAAGAAGAAGAAGAAGAAAAGTGTTGTTTGTGGTCGAGATGGTTAACTAGTAATCCGTTCTAAAAACGTGTGAATTGCTGTAGGTGTTGGTTTACTGACTCTAATTTAGTATATTATTTACTTTCTATTTAAATAGTGCGACAAGCTGTCAAACAAGGTATATTTATAAATCTTATTAAGATCTAGGAAGTTTTCGGCCAATTTTGTTTGCTAATTTTTGACTGGTGCCCTTTTTAAACATAGAAATTACGCTTGGCCTCTTTACACTTTTGGTAGAAACATTTTATTTGAAAAATAAATTTGTGTAGATTTCCCGTTTTCATTAAAATGTAATCTAGTGACAGTTCTTTTCGATCTTTTTTTAAACCCCTTTATTTGTTTTTCAGATTATTTTCATTAGTGGCGGCATGACTTGCTTTTTTCAAATCTTTAATCATTCGTGCAGTTCCTTGTTGTTTTCTTTTTTTTTTCTCTGAGTATACTATGTATTTAAATAATCAAATAGACTGGTTTTTCCAAGGTAGTCTATATCAACGTAACTGTAAATAGTAGTCGCAGAATATTTTTAAGGTTATACAAGTGTGAAGTGTTTATTATTCAGTGATATTTTCATTTGTGATGCAATATTCATCATCTGACTTATTCGTGATATATATTAAATTAGTTATGTTTTGCTAAGTTTCTAAATATGTTGTTGCTTTGTTTAAGAGTAAGTTCATTTGTTACTAAATTTTCGTATTTTTTACGTAATATGTATAGTAGATTAAATAATATAAGGGAATTAAATCAATTCCACAGATTTAGATATTGGAGAATTATTATATATGTTATTGGAGAGACCAAATTATTTTTATGTTATATGCTAATCAAGGTCGATATTATGGTCAATAGCATATTGATCAACACAAATTGATGCATTTCGACCACACTATTATTTTGACTTATAGCGTTGAAGACATTTAAATAACTACATAATACAAAATACTGATTATATTATTAAATAATATCATAACATATGATTTGATGCCTTCACAATGTAGCTACACAGAATATACAAGTAACAATCATCCCTTGTATAACCCATTCTTCGTAATAAAGCATTTTTGCTAGATAACTTTAAACGATGTCTTCTCTCTTCCATAAAACAAAAAAATTATTATTTTTATGTGCTTTAAAAAAAGATACGTAAGTCTATATAAATCTCTAAAAACAGAACACGGTATACATTTTCATATTTTTTGGATACAGGTACTTAAGATGCTTCTTATCTATGCATCTGCCATTTTTCTTACTTTCATAACTCCAAACCTGTCAGTCAACTTATTACTGTCTTTTGTAACGCTGTCCATCTGTGTTAAATCTACTTTCTTGAGAAATATAGTTTTTTTAGTATATATAGTATTTTTTTTATTTTCTTGGTCTCTAGAAAGAACTGTAGTTAACCAGAGATTTTACTGTTACAGAGTCCTGACGACGACAACAAGCCTCGCTCATTGCTGATAACGCAGGACAGCAACAAGCAGCACCAACAGCGTTTCGTTCAAGCCACAACCACCGTCGGGACAGCAGCTACCACCAAGGGTGTCGCAATGTCTTTCGGCTTCAAGCGTCGACAAACTGCACCATCTATCGCAGCAAATGCTAGCGCTGCACGAAGGCTGGCGAATAACCAAGGTTCCATTGATGGAACCACTGCTACCGAGAGTATTGATAGGAATGGTAATGATTCTAGAGATACGGACGCTTTAACGTCAAATGCTGCACCTACTGGGAGATCCACTCCAAGGTTGCTGCCGCCTAAGAAGGAGGCTAACGCCACAAAGGTGTCCAGATTTGGTTTTAGGTGAGTTCTTTAAGACCTCCCATTCCTAATTTTACAGTTTTCTAAGTAACGTAAATACATTTTCCAAGTTAAGTCGTATGTTTTGCACTTTTCATTTAAATATTAGCTATTTGATTTGTAATTTGCCAAAGTATTAAAAAAGGGAGTCTTCCGTTTTATCTAGTAAGGGAAAGAAAAATTACCTCAAGATTAGATACAATCGATATTCTTGGCATATAAAAAGGGGTGCAAAATGCAGTTCTAGAATTATGAGAGCATATCATTGTTAAAAGTATGCTATAAAGTACTACCGGAGCGGATATTAAAAATACCAAAAAAATACCCTGAAAAAGATATAGAAGAAGTATTAAATTTTGGCACTAAAAGACAAGTAACTTTGTATGAACATAAAACCACATTACTGTATATGCAATTTTTACTGATATTAAGCAAGCCCATGACAAAATGAAAGGAAATCAAATTAACATTGTTAAACAAGATGATTGAAGAATTAAAAATAACGTTAGAAATAACAAAAATGAAAGCGCCTGAAAAGGATTTAGCTCAGACGAACCTTAAGTTTAATATTCATAATTAGAAGATGAAAACAACAGATGGAATTTAAAAAAATGAAGATTATCAATGTTTATCTCTTGCGGATGATCTAATCATAATAACAGAAATAATAGAACTACAATGAATTATAAGAATTAGAATACGGGAGAAGAAAAATTGGAGCTTTTCTAAAAAAAATTATAACTATTTAAAATTAATGGAAAAAACCCCGTAGTTGGCTGTATACCATCGTTTAAAAAAACACATAAGTTAAAACACTTCACACATGTGTATTGTTGTATAAAAAACAAATAATTAAAACTTTATAAAAGTGCCGTCAACATTTAAGTTCTAGCAGAACGTTTTCGATCTGAACAGATCATCCTCAGTGCCTTGTGTACTTGTAGCTAACAGTAAAGTTGTCTATGAGACCTCCATGTATGAATTTACAGCATTCCAAATGTCACATTTGATTATGTTGTGACTCTAGGTCGATGACAATGGATAGATTTTTTAAATTACTTTAGGGACTACATGTCTCCCTGCTCGATTATTAACACGTGGTACTTGTCAGTTGAAACGACACAGACCAACTGGCTAAGGTGACAGGAATATAAAAAAATAGGTCTTCTTATTTCTGTCACTTTAGCCACTTGGTCTGTGTCGTTTCAAATTGACGTGTTAATAATCGAGCAGGGAGACAGGTAGTCCCTAAAGTAATTTAAAAAATCTATCCATTGTCATCGACCTAGAGTCAAAACATAATCAAATGTGACATTTGGAATGCTGTAAATCCATACATGGAGGTCTCATAGACAACTTTATTGTTAGCTACAAGTACAAAAGGCACTGAGGATGATCTGTTCAGATCGAAAACGTTCTGCTAGAACTTAAATGTTGACGACACTTTTATAAAGTTTTAATTATTTGTTTTTTATACCACAATACACATGTGTGAAGTGTTTTAACTTCTGTGTTTTTTTTATAACCATTTCTCTGTAGTTGTTCATATTGGTGTTTGCGCCCATTATATATATATATATATATATATATATATATATATAGAGAGAGAGAGAGAGAGAGAGAGAGAGAGAGAGAGAGAAGAGAGAAGAGAGAGAGGTAATGTAAGATTGCTTCCAATTCTGTGTTGTCTTATAAATCTCCATGCATTTGCTTTTGTTGACCATAGAAGTCAGACTCCAATGATATTGTTGTGTTTCAATCCTTAATATATCATACTTATTAGTGCATGTTTACAAGCCCATGGGAGATTTTAATGGGTCATTGGACCCAGTTTGAATCACGTATAAAACAATACCACAATATGTGAGATAAACATACCACTTAAGCGTGTAAATTTTTTTTGGGCAAACATTTTTGTACAGATTTTATAACGTAGGTAGGTAATACAAAAATATCGACTTGCGACCTAATGACGTACAAAAATATTGATACCAGGAGCAGGGAAAATTTTTTATTTTCGGAAAATGGAAATCAGTATATAGATGCAATGATCAGTTCCCTCGCAAATTTCCCAAACGGTAAATTAAAATTACGATAATAAATATTGCCATACTTCAAACATGCTATTACATTACACTCTCAAATACCTCGTTTATTTAAGAAAACACTAATTTACTCTGCCTAACATCTCAATGAACTCTCCAAAGCACTTAACTATCTAGTTTTAAAAATATTTATATCGTTCCATACATCCACATGCATGCCGGTTTATTTTTATGTCTCCGTCAAACAGTAAAAATCTTTTTTGAGTACAATTCTACTCGTGGATAGACAGTTGTCGGTAGTTTGTTTTTTGTATCAAAGGAAGAGGAAGTGGATTTTTTTGTTAAAATAGTTTTCGAACCATCCCAGGTAATTAAGGATGTAGAATTTAGTAGTTTCGTTATTGTGACTAAGTTTAAAGTGATATTTTTAGTAGAATTTTTAAGTTGTATCGTAGTATACCATTAAAAGTTTAGATGAGTTGCTAAAAAATGTAAAATAAAAAACTTTTAACGTTTTCAGTCAGTTTTCATCATCATCCAGTCTTTTTTTACTCTAAATACTGAAGAAATCTTAAATTATTTCCATTTTTGTTTACTTGTGTTATTTATCAAGACATCTGGGACTGTTTCAACCACTGATGTTGTTCTTTATTTGCATGGTGAACTGGCTTTTAGGTTTAAAGTATTTATCAAATGTGAGAAATTTGCAAGTGCATCTTCCCCTTGGCTCCAGGTCACAAAAGTGCCCTTCACGTTCATGGAACCAACACAATGGCTTTTTATTTACAAATTGCAGGGATTGTTCTAATTATTTCATGAACAAGTTTGCAATCATCGGGCACAACAGACAACGGACAGAAATGTTCGTGATGTCTTCTGGAAACTGTAGCTAATGCACTCTAATGTCTCATACACTGCAACTAAACAGTGAAACTACGTCAAATTCACTTCGCTTTTGGTGCTTTAGTGTTTGATGTGTACAATCGCTGACATTTTCAGAGAGGCCAATGGATGGTTTTACCAACGTCGTTAGTTTTTTGTCACGTGCGTAAGAGAGCCAATTATGCTGAAAATCATTGTTAAAGGAACATTTTCGTTGTGAATTATGGATAAAAATCATACAGTCGCGGTAGTATTCAAGTGGGATCTTCTTCTTCGTGTACCATGTCCTTTCAGAACGTTGGTTACCATCATAGCTATCTTAATTTTATTCACTACCACCCTAAATAGCATGATTGTATCAACACCATACCAATCTCGCAATTTCTTCAAGCATGAGATTCTTCTTCGTCCTGGACTGCGTCTGCCTGCTATTTTTCCTTGCATGATATTTTGTAGCAACCTATATTTGGGACCTCTCATTACATGTCCGAAATACTTCAGCTTTCTCTGCTTGATGCTTTTTATGGTCTCAGTAGTCCTGCTGAGACTTTCTAGTATTGTGGAGTTTCGAATCTTCTCCACCCGTGAAACTTTTAAAGTGGGATCAAGTTTCACGTTTCTGTAGGTGTTCGTTTCCAGTAGCTTTTTACTTGTGTTGTTATAATCTTAGGTTTTTAGTATGACAGCAGCTTTATCAGCAGGTAAAGTTATAATATAGTAACAGTCTCCCTTTATTTCTGTTGCCAGTGGTATACAATTACGAGTATAATAGAGCCAATGATACGTTTTAATTACCTATTATTACACCGGGTATCGAACCCAGGCCTTTTACTTGAACTAGTTTGAGCAATAGTGTTAGCCGGTAAAATTATAATGGTAAAATAAAATAGGAGTATGGTTGTCTTACAGTATAACTGAGTATTCTTATATACGAGTTTACTATTGTGAAACACTCTTATGAGTTGGTGTATTGTCTTGGAGAAACAACACTTTTTTCTTCTGTATATCTTTTTCACCGAGTTCCTGCTGTAGTTTGTCCAATAATGCACAATTGCACAATAATATTGGCTATTGATAGTTTTACCTTTTTTAAGAGCGTCAATTAAAATTATGCCTTTCAAGTCCCAAAATACAATGGTCATGACCTTGCTGACTCTACTAGTCCACTAATAATTCTGTTATTTAATATTAGTTTAATTTTTAATCGTTTCCCTAAGTTAAATTTATGAATAAACCATTTGAATAGATACCTAAGTAAAGTATATTCTTGCAATATGTTTATTTTCATGTGAAAAATTGTTTGTAGAAGTATATTTTTTATATTTATTTGGATTTTTTATTTTATCAGCAATATTTTGATGTAAATAATGAACTGTATCTTTAGATAACCTAAATCTTTGCAAAAATTCATTATCATTCCATTTTTCAAAATGATTGTCTCTGGTCATAAATTGTTTTTGTGTTCTTCTTCCATCTACAATATTTATCATTTCCAGAAAATCTTCATCGTCAGTTAAATTTTCAAAGTTATTCATTTTTTATAATATAACACTCACTAACAGATAATTATTAAGCTTTCTATTGACAATTACACACAAATAGAAATATGCGAGGTTAAAAATGCCTGAGCTGACGTTGAACCTAATGTAATATTCGAAGTAGAGGACAAACTTAAAGAATGGGAAAATTACGTCACGAACCTATTCGAAGACGATAGGAGTAGTTCACCTCCCGATATTACTAACTGCGACGGACCCCTAATAACACGCTGTGAGGTTACAAAGGCCATAAATCATCAAAAGATGGCAGAGCGACTGGTCCGGATGAAATTCCAACTGAAATATATAAGCTTATAAAGGATAGCAATGTTTTAGAGGCTATAACTTCGTTTTTCAATACCATTTATACCAGCGGACAACTACCTAATGGTTGGTCTAACTCACTGTTTATAGCTCTACCTAAGAAGACAACAGCAAAAACCTGTGCTGATTATAGAACCATCAGTTTGTTAAACCACTTATTGAAAATTTTTCTGAAGGTAATACATGGTCGTATCTACAATAAATGTGAGGAATACCTGAATGACACTCAGTTTGGTTTCCGTAACGGATTTGGAACGAGAGAGGCACTGTTTGGAATGAACGTACTTGCTCAAAGATGTCGTGATATATCTGTAGACATATACTGTTGTTTTATTGACTTTCAAAAGGCATTTGATCGTGTTAAGCACTCTATATTGATCGAAGCTCTAAAAGACATTGGCTTGGACGGCAGAGATGTTCGAATAATTGCAAATTTATATTGGAATCAAACAACATCAGTTTTAGTAGATGGTGTGGAATCACAAGCTCTCAATATTAAAAGAGGAGTACGGCAGGGATGCCTCTTGTCACCTCTGCTTTTTAACGTTTACTCCGAAAGAATTTTCAGAAAAGCACTTTCTGAAAAACAAGAAGGAATACTTGTGAACGGCGAAGTCATCAATAATTTGCGATATGCGGACGATACAGTACTCCTAGCTTCTAGTCAAGAAGATCTGCAAACACTACTTGATAGTGTCGTTGAGAGTTGTAGGGAGGCAGGTCTGGATCTTAACATAAGGAAAACCAAAATACTCGTAATAAGTAAACAACAGAATATAAAACCGTCTATATATGTAAATAATATCAAACTTGAGCAAGTTGATAAAATCGTCTACCTTGGACAGCAATTAAATTGTAATGCAGAAAATCACGGCGAAATTAGATCCAGAATAGAGCAGGCTAGAGCTGCTTTTAGAAGGATGTCCAAGGTGTTATGTAACAGAGACCTAAAATTGGCATTAAGGATCCGCCTACTTCGCTGCTACGTGTTCTCGGTCTTACTTTATGCTGTCGAGTCCTGGACTGTGAATAAAATCGATCTAAATCGCCTTGAGGCTTTCGAAATGTGGTGCTATAGAAGAATTTTAAAAGTTTCCTGGGTGGAGAAGATTCGTAACTCCACAATACTAGAACGTCTCAACAAGACTACTGAGATCATAAAAAGCATCAAGCAGAGAAAGCTGGAATATTTCGGACATGTAATGAGAGGTCCCAAATATAGATTGCTACAAAACATCATGCAAGGAAAAATAGCAGGCAAACGCAGTCCAGGACGAAGAAGAACCTCATGGTTGAAGAACTTGCGAGACTGGTATGGTGTAGATACAAGCATGCTATTTAGGGTGGCAGTGAATAAAATTAAAATAGCTATGATGGTAACCAACGTTCTGAAAGGACATGGTACATGAAGAAGAAGAAGACGTTGAACCGTCAAACTTCTATCAGAACCCATGTTTAAACCGAGCTCAAGAATTAAACTTTAGATGTACAACCCACTTCATGCGTTAAACTCGGTAATGGCGCTGAGCTTGAGTTGAGCTACGAATGTGCAACCGGGCCTTAGTAGTAAAATAAATAGTCATAAAGTGTCACATTTATTATATTTCCTAGTTTAGATTCAATTAAGATTTAATGCTCCACCATGCCTTCTGGTCCGTCGAGTCAGGTCAACAATATATTTTTTGTTCAGATTTTTAGTTAAGTGCTACACTTTAAATCGGTATTAGTATTAGTTCTTATTATTGGTTGTTTCGGTTGAGGCACAGTGTCGGGACTTCAAATTAAAGTTTAGCTGCAAAAAAGGAATCATCTATCAAAGGAATATAACAGTTGCGGAAAATTGATTTTATGTTGAACATCCCTATGCAATAATTTAATCTTCTTTAGTAGCCGTTTTTCACCGTCGTGTTCCGATTTTAATTCCGATAACATTAGCAATTACTGTTGCCGCACCTAATTTCTTAAAAGAGTTTACTTGTATTTTTGGTTACGGTAGTCTACTAAGTGGGTTTGTTCCATTAAACTCTTGTATGGCACGTGACATTTCGCTTATCAAGTTATCGTACAACTAGTTGTTGCCCTCCTGTGTATTATTAGGTTGTGTTTCTTGTATGGTAACCTCAGGAATATGCTCATATATTTTATTATAAACTTGATTTCTTGGTTATGAGTCTCCCGTTCGATTTCGCTTCTGATTGTATGGCGTTTAGTCTCTGGGATAAGATTATTTCTTATAATTAGCCGATATTGATATGGTATTGGTTTGTAGTTGTTGTTGTTGTTAGGCTGTAGCTGATTTTTTTCATGGATGTGCATTGTCTACCTATTGCCAGGGGTCAGTTTTTGCTCCACGGCAGTAACCCTCTGGCTGTCGGTGCTACGAATACCTAGATAACACCCCCCATTCGCCGGGGGTCACACCTGATAGAGAACTGACGAAAAATCTCCAAAGGTCTTCCATACATTTGATATTATTTTTATTAGTAGACTCGCGATTATCCGAGGTAATTGGGACCGTGACTACCTCGGATAATAAAAAAACTCGGTTAACACCGAGATTGGTTGTACTGATAAAAGAACATGTAAATAACGATAACTGTGGTTATTTTAATAACTAAAAATTATCACAGTGCTGTCTATAAAATATAAACCATTTATTGTATACTGTATATTATTTAAAGGTTTATTTCTCTTTTTAAAAGATGATATTGCACAAACGTTGAAAGTGAAGGACGTCTACTGGTGACGATTTATCTTGCTGCTCTTTGTATGCAAGAAATACTTCAAGGGGGCTTTTAACCCATTCGGAATCGGAAATTTTTTAAGATATCTCATCTGTATCTTCTTTTTGTTTATGATTGATGTTTAGAACTAGATCTGCAATTGTGTCATCTCTCAGTTCCATTTCTTCATCTCTATTCATTAAATCGATGACGTCTTGGTTTCCGACTGGCTAGGTTGGCTCTAGTATCAACTTCAGAGTCATCAGGTTCTTCCTGAGGTCTAGTGTTTTGTTTTCTATCTAAAATATTTTTTTTCATGATTTTTGAATATTGGACACTTTTAAGTCGTTTCTTGCCAAAGCAATCCAGTAGCAAACATCTCTAACCGTTATCTTTTTTAATGAGTCAATTACAGTCAGCCCTTCTTCCAGCCTGTTAATCAGTACCTGAAGAAGTTTCAGCCGATAATTCCTCTTCATTGCTTCTATAACGCCTTGCTCTAGGAGTTGAATAAAAGACGTCATATTGGGTGGAAGGAACATAGCTCTTATATCTACATTAATCAATTCACTCGCATCTGAGCTTTCAAAAGAGCTTTCGGAGGCAGATTTTGTTTTTTACATAGGTATCAATGACTAGTACAAAGTTATTAAAAACCTAGTTCCAAAAAATGTTATAGTCAAAAAGCATTTTAAAATTAAGACCTGCCTCATCACAGTTAAATATTTGCTATGAAGTCACTATCTTTAAGGATAATGTCTTGTAATTTTAAATAAAATGTTACAATTTCAGTTGAGTCAGCAGAAAGTTTTTCGCTGCAAATATTTAATTGTCGGATACCATATTTCTTTTTCCATTAGTCAATCCATCTCTCACTAGCATAAAAGTTTTCTCGTCCATCCCTAAACTTCTTGTTGAATTCAATAACTTTTGCTCGAAGTATTGCACGACATCGGTCTGCCCAATCCTCTCATTTATGAAAACCATGAGAGCAACATCACAGAAGTTTGGTTATGGTCTTCCGCGCCAATACACCCCCACCACTCACACTTGAGTTGACCCACTATTCTATTTCATTCCATTTACGTTTGTTATCTCCAACAGTTACTTCTCCAACACTTAAATCTGAAGCAACCTTCTTTATTGATCTACTTTTGTCCATGTGAACATAGGAACACTACAATAATTGTAGACAAAACGTGACACAGAAATTTTGGGAAATAAGGCGGTGAACAATTTCTGAAAATTCCGCCTCGGCCTAACAGCGAATAACTGTTCGCAATTGAGACTCACTAGCTATGGCTTGTTCCTCAGTTAACCGAGGGGTTCGGTTAACCTAGACTCGGATAATCGCGAGTCTACTGTATTAACATAATACATTATAAATGAAATAAGAAAAAAATGTATACATCCTAATACAATCGAATTAATTATCGCGTTGGTAGAGGACAGTCTTTTAGGACCGGTCTTACCGACGTTGTCTTACTTGTTTTTATCCTCATTGTCTGGACTATTCCATCTCTACCATTATGAACTTCAGTAACAACCGCTAAAGGTCAATGAAAATGTGGTGCACTTCTACCTTTAATACAACTATTCTTCTTTTTCTTCTTTAACTCTTTCTTCTTCAGGGCTCGCTGTTCCTTACTCTTCGCCACTCATTTCTGTCCGTCTTGTCTTTTTCATTTAAACCTTTCTTAAGTCCTCTGTCACACAGTTCTTCAATCTTCTTCTCGGTATTTCTCTACCTCCCCTTCCCTGAACTTTAACAGCTCTATCATTCGTCCCACATTTCTACGTCTAACATGACCAAACCATTACAGTCTTCGTTCTGGGACCGGAGATAGCATCAAAAATAAGCTGAAGTCAGCGCCTGAGAAGCTGAAGAATCCGCTGCTGACTGACAAAAACTTTGTTCTAACTCTGTTAATGTTAACGTTGGAATAAAATCCGATTTTCACCTACATAAATATATTACCTGTATTCAGTATTAGCCACAATATATTGAATTGTCAATATTAATTAAATCTGAATGGATTTGATACTTAAAAAATATTATTAAGACAACCTACGATTTCCACATTATTATTTATTTGCTCTTTGTCTTATTTTCAGGCATACTCAAACCTCTAGGTTGAACAAAGTTGCAGACGTGAATAACACTGGCGACATAACCAATCAAAACAAGAACAATAATTTTGTAAAGAAGCCGATCGCGTTAGCCAGGACGGTAGTACCTACGGACAATAACAACAGAAACAGAATATACAGAGTAGATCCACCCCCACCACAGGTAAATTGCACGGTTAATTCCTTTATAATATCACTAACAGTAGACAGACATGGGACTTTTAAAAAGCATTTAACTTAGTTGACAGAGTTAAAATATATAGACTTAATCCCGAAACCATTGTGTTATCATTTTTTGCTGTAATTTTAGTGCATTAATCGAACGTATATATTTGCTTTTTTATTCTGCTTTGAATAAAACATCTAATTAATTTTTTAGATTGGCAAATTCACCCTACAATCAACACAGTTACCTAGACCCGAACCAATCAGAGTCATAGAAACAAAGTCAGCTAAAACGGTGGCGAATAACAACAGAAGAGTAGCCGGAATGTATCAACAGCATACAGAAGAAACTTCTTCCAAAGACGGGTCTCTTACTGAAGATTCGGGAGTGGGGAGCCATTTTAGTAGTAAGTACTTTATTGTATAGTTACAACAACACTCTTTATAATTTATGGATAAAAATGGAATTAATGATGACTTTAAACATGATTAATGAACACTTTTTTCATCTTAAGCAGGCCACTCTTTTGTTTTTATTTCACATATGTTTAAGATTTACAATCATCTGATATCATTCTGTATCTTATATTAATTATATTAGATCAAGAACCGAGTCTTTAGACGATATTCAAAAGAAATTCATATGTTTGGTTTTATTGCGGGATATAATCTATCTGTAATATACGCTAACCTACCAACACTTACACATACCAACTATCTTGACTCCAAGTTGCAGGGTGCACATATCATTACAAGGTGTCACAGGTGAATTTATTAATCATGCAATGTACCTGGACACCAGTTAAATATGTAGTTGCATTATTTAGGTGATAATATTCATCTCATCTCAAATACAAAGGATTAAAGTGATTTATTACACAGGTGTAAAAGCATCATGCATTTCTCTTGCTCAGACAAAGACAAGAACCGCACTAGTGGGAATTATTCTCCTTGTGCCACATCTTTTCTTCCAAATAAAAACTTCTTTTATTTTATTCTATTCTCTTATATTTTGTGCACTATACAAAAGGTCCATATTTAGAAATCTTTAAATTTGTTAATAGATGTAGCGATTAACTTGTATCTTCTATCTACGCTTGTATTTCGTATAACAATAGATATAACATATAAATATATCGCTTAGGCGTCTTGTAGTTCAAACGGAAAGCCACTCAGTGATTGGTCAATAATTTTCGTATTTTCTCGAGAGTGTTTCTAGGTTTAACTCAAATTTGTTTAAATCATTTCTAACAAACTGAAGACAATATGTCGAAATAAGACATACCCGCAATTCAAAACTCTTAAAGTGATGTAAATTGAGCAAGGGAGACGTCTTCGAAGGTACAGATAAAAATATAATACAAAACTCGAGCTTTCCCAACGAATCACTTACCAAACTCGAGCTATGCTGGTTTTTGTACATAGATAGATTTCATAAGAGGACTCATTTGTTATGAACGTTGTACAACAGACTATAATATCATTTCAACCACATTTTTTTAATCAATCATATTTTGGGGGACCCAGAAAACGTTGGAGGTAGATAAAATAGGAGGAAATCAGAACAAAATTAGTGGAGTGACTGTAGATGGCAATTAATTAAATAACCCGTCGCATGTCGACGGGTAAAATCGCTAGTATTATATCATCTATATATATATATATATATATATATATATATATATATATATATATATATATAGTATTATAATATATATCTATGGGGGGTAAAGCTACTTATGAGAAACAGTATGTTAGATCAGATTACTATAAAAAATTACCAATATCTAACTTTTTATTATAAATAAACCTAGTTTTCCTTGTTACTCCACTGTTTTACTCTACATAGGTAAAATACCTTTGTTTTCACTTTTAAAGCTGTTAATCTTATAATCTACATCTCTGACCTCAATAAAAAAACCCTCCTTTTTGTGTAATATAATCCTTGTAAGTAATTTAGCTAAAATGTTCGACGAAAAGTTCAAAGGGAAACCTGCAAAATGCTTTTTACCGCTTACCCTAGATTTTCTGTAATGAAAATCTAACCTCAATAAAATAAGGGCGTAGAATGACTTCAAACTGTTTAAATGCCCTCAATTGAGACAAATTTTTTGAAGATGTATAATATTTAATCGAAAAGGGAGAGTAATAATAAACCACTGTCAAGTGGCCACTTCTTAATCGTACTGTTTCGTGGGTGTATAGTTTATTATATAAATTTTTTACCGCTAATACACTGTACCAGTTTTTTTCTAAGTCCCTTTTAGTATTTCCTACCATATATCATCAGCAACATTAAGCACCAGGTATTGTTATCTTGAATTTTCCTGATTTCCTTAATGTAATCCTGCTTTCACGTGGAATTTATCAGTCTCTCTCACATTTGTCCCAACCCTAGTTATTATTCCCTAGTATCAAGTTGATCGTATAGATCTGTATATGCTTCTGCTTTAGATTTTGCTACTGCCTTTCTCTTCATTAGTTTTTTAACTTTGTTTTACCACCACCTATTGGACTTGAAAAAGTCCACAAAAACATATCAGTCTTTTCATTTGTATATAAAAATATTCAATTTCAGCTTCATCTTTTCTGCTGTCTTTCTTTATTAATTCTTTGTTGGTCTGCAATTGAACCATTAGCACTCTCTGCGTAGGGTGTAAAACTAATTATTAATATATTTATTTCTTTATATAGTAAGATTGCGACTCCATAACGATGATGGAGATCAGTGTTTCCGGCGTAATACATTATGCAATTTTGGTTATGAGCTTTTATGTGCTGTCCACTTACAACGTCTTAAAACGTTGCTTATACCCAGTATATTTATTTGCATGCGTGTCATTTCTTGTCCTGGTCTGGCTGATACAAGCTTCTTATATTTCACTGTACTAGTCTTGCTGGATATAGTATTCATTCTAAAGCGATCATATTTCTTACACGTGAATTTCGCCTATTAACGATCTGGAAAGTCATGTGTTTAATTATATTTCACCTTCCCTGTCGGATCTTGGCTTCCGAAATCTATGATCAGTAATGGACTGCCTTTGGAATTTGTATTTACTTTAATGCAGTGGTTTCCCCTTACCTTCTGCATCCTTATTCCATTGACTAACTACAATTTTTCCGTCTTCAGGGACCAATTAATTGATCCCAGGATAAAGAAGTGCCCAATACAAAAGCGCTCTATGGTAAAGGAAAATTACAAATTGGTACCCATATTGGTATTACAGATGATTTTTTAATGATAGTTTATTAACTTTTTAGTCAGTTCACACAGGTAATTACCATAGATCCATTTATTTTCCCACATATTTCATAATTAGTTTATACAGTTCTCCGCACTATATAAAATTGCCTAAAACTGCGTGAAAAAAAAAACAAAAATAATTTAGGAGCTCTAGAAAAAAAAAATACTGAAGACTATATGGTAACAAATAAGCTAGGTTAATCATCAATTTAAACTTATTAAAATAATCGGTCCATTCTTTACGCGATTTACATATATAATTGGAGTTTATAACTCTTTGGCAACACCAAATGAAATATTATAGCGGTGCGTATATTTTATTATAGGCACTCTTCGCCATCAAGATTTGTTTAATAATAAAAATTATTTATTAAATTCAGAAGTTCGAATCGGTGACGGTGTTTAGCATCAGCTAAAGTTTAAAATCAAAACAAAACGATGCGAAATAATTCAATATACAAACGAAATAAGACAGGAAAACGCACTTTTCTCTACTTTCTTTTTACCTATTTGTAAAGAAAGTATTTTGACATATATATATATATATATATATATATATATATATATATATATATATATATATATGTGTGTGTGTGTGTGTGTGTGTAATGTGTATAATGAAATTTTTATTATATTATTCTTGTAGGTTATGTAGGAGAAACCGATGTAATACTTAGAGGATATGACCATTTAGACTCATCACCGACGTTTGGAGCGCGACGAAGAAAAAATAGCCATCACAAACCTCGAAATTTAGAAGTAGTAGTTACCGGTACTAACACGTTCGATGTCAGAGACTTGGAAGACTCGAATGACAGCTGTGACAGTGTCTCAGCTCCGCCATTGCCGCAGTTACCCAGCGCCTTCCATTCCACACCTGAACATAAGAATAAGTAAGTAGATTTACCTTTCGGAGAAAATGTGTTACCTAATTAAACTATTTCTCTATTGGAAAAACAACGGTAGAGCGTATGTAGACACGAAACTTTAATGTAGATGAAACATATGTAAATCTAGTAGAGCAAATGGCAGTTAGTATTAATTATCCTGTAAACTTTTTAATAAGTGCTTGGAAGGGAAAGATTTTATAATTACCGAAGGATCAGTATTATATTCTGTATTGGAACACTTTACGAAATAGTCAGAAAACCCTAATATAACTAGAGATCACGTAGATTGAAGAACAAAGTGGATATCGACCAGGACTATGCTGCATTGACAATATATTTACACCAAAGATTTTAACAGATAAGACATTAACATAAGAAAAGGAACTTCATGCTGCTTGTATAAACTCGCAAGGCATTCGGCTCGACTTTTGTCGTATTTATTCCGTCGCAAAATTTATAGATGGCAATGAAATGAACAGGCATAAATAGCGTATATTTAAACATTGTATAACGTATATTTAAACAGCTTTATATCAAATTTGAGGAGTCGTTAAAGTCGGAAACCAATTTTTGACATCTTCTCTACATGAAAAAATGTAGCTCCATGGGAATTTTGATAGGGACAGTCACTTATATACAATTTTCTTACTTAGGACGTATAACTTCAATGGATACTATACAGAGCACTATTACTATATGCAAGAAGAACAGTTTGGTACGTGAATCTACGACGAATTTCCGAAGAAAGAAAACAATTAAAGAATTGAAATTGGTAAACAGCACAAAGCACAAAAAAACTAAGAAATGCTCGAGAAAAAAATGAATCTAAAATATTCATAAAGGAATGGAAAGTAGAGAACTCTACAAAGGATATTAAAACGACAAAACACGTTGGCTTTTATATTCTTTCAACTTGTATTCTTTTAGTTATCAATTTTTTTTCTAAAACATAATTACTTTACTATTTCTATTGTTTTTTTTTAGTTCATATCACCCGTCTGGTTTAGTTAGAGACCGTACAGTAGAATACCAACGCAATCTTGATAGAAACAATCGCCTAAGAAAGATATCAAAAACGTCGTCAGAAGGATTCAGCGACGATTATGGAGAGGAAGAAAAGACTTACAGAGATCTGTTTAGAAGTGAGAAAACCTTTATTAGGCCATCAGGCCCTCAGCCGAACTTTTTCAAATCCAGGACAACTCAGCTCAGAGATGATTCCAGCCCGCCTAGTTCAGACGAACAAGAATGGGTAAGTTTTATTAATTAGGTACTATGATATCTTACTCACAATAATTCTAATTAAAGGCAATTTGCACTTTGATTGCTGATTTCCTTTGATAATTATTAGTTTCTGGTTTCAGCAATTCTGTTTTTTATTGGTTACAAATCATCACCAACAGCGTCACTTGTGGTGGATTTTAACTACTTTCACAATTCACGTTCAGTGTCACTATGTGTTCACTTCTGTTCCCACATCTTTCCTTCGATTCATTCTCCATCCATTCTAAAATTTTTCCGATTCCCCTATCTTTCCCGCCAAGGATTATTTCGCCCTCAAGCGATAGGTTTTTAAAATATTATTTGCATGTTTTTGATCTATTAATTCTGGCTATTTTTCAATGTTGCATCTGTTTCTATATCTAATATTATCTTATTATAGACTTCTCCTTCTTCTTCGTAAGAGTTTCCTTGCCTTCGCTCTGTTTATATAGAATTATTCGTTGTATTCATCGCTCTTGCCTTGTAACATCTTGTATCTGATTTTGTTCGTAGTATCTTGGGCTATTTGGCATTCCCTGTCATAACATTAAATTTATTAAATGCTACGTTTGTTCAATCCTTCTGTATGAAGTTAAAGCCTTTAAAATGTGGCTTTATCGCAGAATGCTCAGAATATCATCGCTACAACACATTATGAATCGAACAATATTAAACATCATAGAGTGTTTAAACTTATAACAACAACTAAGAAAAGAAAGACCTCGTACCTTAACCACATAATGAGGAATGACAAATATAACCTGCGTTAATAATAATTCGTAAGCCAAAATACGGCGAATTGAAGTGGCGTCAACCCCGTGGGCAGAAATCAGATGGTAGAATGTAAAAAAAAGTTGACTGGCCCCGTTATCGGCTCCAGAGAAGGACCCTAGAGAAATATAAGAAAACTATTTCTTTATACCGAATAAATTAAAAACACAGAGGATGATCAACTTACCACTCATAATATGTGAGTTCTCGATCACAACTAAACTACATAAACCTCAGAATGCATTTCGATAGGAGACTTAAATAATTGACTGACAACTGAAATTGGATTTTGGCTCTTTTATAACTTCTAGCCAAAGCTAATTAATTTTTGGGGAGGGATATACGGTTATATTTATTGTAATCAGTCATTGTAATCAGTATTGATTCTCATGATGACATCTTACCACTTTAAGATTTAATTATAAACCAAAACTAATAAAATGTTAAGACTGATTTTGTAAATTGTACCCTTGAATGAAATAGTTTAAAAAAGAACCGTTCTGGTTCATTGGAACTTATGACTATTCTAACCCAAGCATAATTTATTAAGAAAATGGAAACTTTTAAGTACACACACTTGACGTATTCAGGGCCATAAAAATAATCTCTACACATGAGGTTAACGTGAAAGTAAGTTTTGTTAAAACTTTTAAAATTAAAGAAATTGAAACGTCACAATGTCAACTTTGGGTAAATTTTTACTATAGAATTCAGCCTCATTTTCTTTCAATTCTTCTAAAACAAGATTCAGCTTGTGGGTAAGACATAAACAATGTGTTTTGAACGTTAAAATTCGGACGTTAAAGTCTATATATTCCGAAATGCAACAGTATATTAATTTATTTATGGATATTTTAAACTGACTTTTGTAATATAAAATCAAAATGAAATTGCGCATTTTTAAACTACTTGACTTAAGCTTTCATCTTAAATTTTTATTTTTTTTTAAGTTGATCTATAAACCATTATAAAATGGCCGCAAAAAACGCCAAAATTGTTTTTTTTTCTGCATTTTTTATTGTTTATTTGCATTTTACGTTTAAAGTAAGTCCTTTACGGAAAAACACAAAAATAATTTTCATTTTAGAATAACTCCAGTTATTAAAAAAGTATTTGTTTAAAAATTGTTAAAAAATAAATAATAAATAAATAAATTTCGTAATGCTCGCAAAAAGTACATACAAATTAAAAAAACGAATGTTTTTCCAATATTTAAAATCTTTTTTTTTTTTTTTTTAATTTTTTCAATCAATATCAATAGAATATATAACTTTTAAACTATTTGACCGATCGTTTGGAAATGTTAATCACACTTTAACCATCACAAGAACCAACATTTTGTGTAATATAAAGGTTCTAAGTTTATTTTTTTAAATTTATTAATTTTCCGACCATTTTCAGTGAAAACAGTGAAAATTTACCGTTTTTTATCATTAATTTGTGAATAAATAATTAAGACCAAAAAATCGACTGTAGGAAACATATATTTTCTTGTTACAAATATCTATACTACTTAAAGCAACTGTCGTTTACCTTGCCGATTTAGTGTCACGAAAAAATCTTTTCACTGATCTATGTAGTTCGTACAGGATCTCATTTCCAATGATCTTATCCGGGGCTTTACCATTACTCTACTTTTATCAGTTTTACTTCATCTTCAGTAACAGCATACGTCGAAATAATGCATATGTTCCTAATGCGATCCTAAAATCTAGTTTTGCAATATATGTCACCTAAAGGTTCAAAACATATACAACCATCTCATTTTACTGGAAATACTGAATCATATTTCTTTTAGTCCTTTCCTATTTTCTGATCCACTATAATGAAAATTTCCATCCACCTAACTTCTTGCACTGCCTACATCGATTTTCTACTTTTGAACTTCATTCGCAACTTCCATTATTTTATCAAGTTGGAGCATAGCTCTTAAATTCGAAGTGATCGTAACGAGTAATTATTTTCTGGGGCAAGGTTGTTAACCCCACGCCCACGCCCAACCCCCAACCTTGAGAATTCTTGATTTCGGATACCCTCTCCCTAGACGAACTGCCATCACAGCGGCTGGAGAATCTCTTGTACTTCTATAGCGAAATATCTGATAGGGAAACATTCCGCTTGAATCACCTTCAGCTCCACTGCAGTAGTAGTATCCTCCAGTTTCGGTATGCCGTATACCCTTCCAACATGAGTCAAGATCCACAGACGGTCTCCTGTGACTATGAGACGGCCAGGCCCAGGAGCTATCTTTAGGTATAATGTCATAAATGTATCATCAGTGATTTAAGCTATGCGACATGACGATAGGCTTAATGTTCAAAATTCATACCAGATACAAAAAAATCTACACTAGACCTAGTATTTTGGAGTATCTTACACAAATTTTTTGACGCATCTGGACTTTGTGAACAGTTCCGATTTTTGCATGGTGTTATAAAGATATACAAAACTGTTAATTTTCTCTAGCAGGGATTTTGTAATGACACCAGTAGTAAGAGGATAATATGTATCTTCTGTTATTCCGTTCTTCATTGTCTTGATTTCTCCGTTTTATTTAACACGTATATTGTTGTGGGTAAATGTCACCATATTCAATAAGCATTGTATGTCAGCTTTGTTTCTTCACTTGTATAAGATCTGATCTATTATGTTGCACGGGTTAGTCTGTGAGCACAATACGGTTCCGATATAGCTTGTAGTTGTTATTTTTAAGCATTGTATCAAGGATATATTTATAATACGGAAATGGTCAGTATTTAGAAGTTCAATTTGTTAACTAGCTCGTAATTGAGTATCTAATAAATTATGCCGTTCCTTATAATAAGTTTCAACAAATTCCTTACAACTCCCAGTAAGATAGTTTTTGTGCTTGACATCCATATCGTGGCTTGTTATTTTGGACGTAAGAATCTTTTACATTATATTCAAGGTATCTTGGTTGAAATAATCTGATCCTGATAATCAACCAATAGTTCAATATTATCATATTGTACTAATTATTATCGGTATTCTTTGGTTTTTACTTTATTTTGTACTCTTCATGCGCACAGGATACTCTTATCCTGATAATCAACCAATAGTTCAATATTATCATATTGTACTAATTATTATCGGTATTCTTTGGTTTTTTACTTTATTTTGTACTCTTCATGCGCACAGGATACTCTTACTACAATTTCTATAACTTTTGTATTCTCGCTTGCTTTCTTTTTCTGTAGACGTACAATGAAGCATACAAATTGTGGTTAGGTCAATTTTTTAGGTTATTGTCTTAAGTTTTTTCATTATCTCAGGAACAGCTAGCTAGCAAAATTGGAGAGTACACCCAAATTGATGTCCCATTTGAGAGCTTTTATTTTACACATATCTTGAACTTTATTTTTCTATAATATATAAGGGCTCCGTTGTCTCTGATAATATATTTTTTTTATTATGCTTTCAGTTACACGGTGGAGAAGCCATGGCAGATGATGTCAGTTTTTCGCTTAGTTCTAGCGATGAAAGTAAAGATAAAAATCATGAAGTCGCGCCTGTACAAATGCCAATCTCTGCAACGGTTATAAACGCGAGCTTGCACAGTCTAATGAATAGTTCCTTATCTAAAGCCTTCGCCACGAGTACCAGAGAAGTCAAGAACGTGATGTTGACCATTGAGGATCCAAAATTTGCCGCAGTTGCCAGCAATACAGGTAATACTTTTGTGGTAAATAATACGTTGGGAATTATTCATTAAATAAAAAAAAATTAAAAGTGAAAATTTCAGTGGTTGTCTGTATACCATAGTTAAAAAAACTACACTGAAGTAGAGACTTCTGATGTAAAATGGTGTATATTTAATATAAAATTTAAATTATCCAAAAGGATTAAAAATTTTCAGAACTTTTTCGGTGCTATCAGACCATCGTCAGTGAAAACATCTTAAAAGTAGTTAAAACTAGCCACATATCAAGATCTAATAATCTTTAGAATACATGTTGAAAATATTGAATTTTAAAAGTATGACAGGAGGTCGATGTTAGAGAATTTCACTTTAAGAACTTAGACATCTCTACTCGAAAAAGAACATTAGAGTACTACGGTTGATACCAGCCTATTCATTAAATCAATATAAGGTTGAATGTTTGAATAATTAAACTTTGACGGTATACAAGGCAACTATCGAACACGGTGATTAATTTAATCTTGCCCAAGTACTTTCGATCAATAGATCATCTTCAGGGGCATTTCGTCGGTTGTGGCCTATCCGACATGAGTAGAATGTCATAAATGTAAATTTGGACATAACAATACAATACACAAAGACAAACACTTTAAAATTTTTGAAAAGGAGAAGCTACATGTTGTATAGAAGCCGGAGACAGATGATTCTGTCCCCCCTAAAGATGATCTATTGATCGAAAGTATTTGGGCAAGATTAAATTAATCACCGTGTTCGATAGTTGCCTTGTATACCGTCAAAGTTTATTCATTAAATATTCACAAATGTTAAAAAAAGTATCCAAACAAAATTGATAATAATTTGATTTACGTTTTGAAAAACACAATAATAAAAAACTTCTGAAAAAGTACTGTAGGTGTAGTTAAATTTCCCTGCATGAAACCGATTACTGAATTTACCAATTTATAAAATATAGTCTATGAGCTTAATATTTTTATTCCAGGAACCCTTTTGGATGACGAAACATTGCTTTCTCCCGTTGATAGTGTAATGAGCTTTTCTGAGTCAGAAGAAATTAGGCGGAAATTAAACCGAAGTTCATCTAACTCAAAGGATATAAACGAAAAGTTGACACCGCCTAGTCCTGGCACTCCTACAAATGCATCAAATTCTTTATCCATCTCAGATGACAATGATAATTTGAATAATAGTGAGTATATGTTTATAACTATACTGAAACATATTTAATGATTTTATTTTCTAGGCGGAAAAGATGATTTCCTCATAGACGATGAAATAGCAGACCAGCCCGCTCTGATGTTTGAAGATTGTACTCATCCACTAAATAACGATATTAGTTCGGAAACTCTAATGGACTCTACTCCAAAGTCTAGACGAAGAATACCGTCAGGAGTAGAAAATAGCCCGCTAAGTACCAAAAACAAAAAGTTTTCCATTAACAGAACTGGATCTCTGGACACACTAAGTCCGTGTGAGAGTATCGCCAGTGATGATCTGATGATGGATTTCTGCTATAGTCAGAGCAGTGGATTGGATGATTGTGAAGCGTAAGTATATTTTAATCTTCAGTTGTTAATTACTTAATATTAGATGAACTCCTGGACCAAATGAATAATATCACTTTTTATTTTTATAATAAATTTTAATTTTTAATGATATTAAAACCTAAAGTGGAAACAATTTGACGTTTTGATTGTTATGTGATATTCTTCCTCTTGTTTCTATATAGGTATAGTTGCCACTGTATCCTCTGCTATATCTAATTATTCCTCGGTTTTATGGCTCCTCTACACATCGGCAGACGCGTCCGCGGACGACATCTACGTGTGCATCTGGAGATGTGTAGATGGAGTAATTTGATCATCTGTTGTTTATATATCACGTCCGCGGATGCGTCTGCATGATATCCAATTCTTGTCGGTTTTTTTAGTACAGATCAAAGGGTTTCGGTGCGCACGTCAGATATTGTGTCTCTCGGGAATTAACACAGACTGAACGATAGATATGTCCAGATGTGTGGTCAGCTTGTGCTGATACATCTGCAGATGCGTCCGTAGATGCGTCTGCCGATGTGTAGTGGAGGCATTAGATATTGTCTCACCATCTTTTCTTGACTTTCCTGTTTATTTACCTCGAGTGGGTGATTTATTTCGCTTTTTTAGTACCACAAGAGTAAAAACAATTAAATAAGAGAAGTAAAATGCGAGTAACAAATAAATAGAAGAAAATATGGAAATATGGGAAAAACGTGCGAAGAGATAGAATAACATACTGGCGGAACTAGAAATGCAATGTAATGGCATATCCTGAATTCTCTTAAAAAAGCCGGGTAGAATACAGATTTTCCAAATCAAAGAACATGCATGTCAGAAGTACTATAAACAACAGATCTTTTCAATTTTTGGAACAAATTATAGAGCAGTAAGGAAACCATGCAGACGACGAAAGAGAAATGTCTTTCATAAAAGTTAAAAAAGCAATCAAAACACTAAACAACAAAAACCCCAAAGATTTCGGAGAAATATTAAAGGAAACATAATACATAAAATGTTTGAGAATGGAAAAGGTTTACAGACAAAATACATGCAAGAAAATAGTACATACATACATAAGAACGAATAACATTAGAATACAAATAGAAAATAAGAGGAACAGAGATTAAATTTCTAAGGAGAACTTGTAGAGCCACAAGATGGGCCAGAATAAATAACACAAATATTTAAAATTCTACTTATATATACTACAATATAATCGAATATACAGAGGAAAAAAGACTAGCTTGGTATGGACATGCCATCACAGTAGATTCAGAATACTGTATTAATTTGCAGAATGAATTCCGTTAAGAAGAAGGCACCGAAATACAGAAAGAGCTGGAGGGAACATTTGTGTGAAGCACACAATGAAAATCCTTAGTAATACGAGTGGTAGTATGTAGTAGTGTTTTTACTATTCTGTTGTCACCCTAGCGCCAAGAAGAAAACGGTATCTATGAAGTATAGGGCAACGTTTCCCAAATGGTGGGTCGCCACCCGGTACCGGGAGACGAAAGCAAAATGTCGGGCCGCCTCGCCCCACCGTTTCACATCTAGCTTGTTAAGGTCGCTGTTTTGTATTGGATTGTCGCAGTTCGGTATGAAATTAAATCCGTACGATTTAAGTGGACTGTATATTTTCATATTTTAGAGATACTGCATTCTTACAGATCAAAATTTAAAAACTATGAACTGTCCCTATTGCTCGACATCATGGATCTGTCTCTCCGGTTGATACTTGCTCACGAGTCGGCGCGTAGATGCCGCGCACAGAGTCGGCTTAGCTACACTGTTCAGTCGCGATCTGACGGATGCCACCGCTTTTATTATAACCTCCCACTACCACATCCACAAAATTACAAATTTCCGTACAAAGATAAATCAAAATAAAATTTAACAATCTTTCAGGTGAAAAATTTAGATTGATAAGAGAGTTGTATGCATTTGATATAGGAATATATAGATCTCGTAATTGTGAGAATGAGCATTGTTTTGTAAACTTTTACAACCAATGATCTTAGAAAGCAAATTCTTAATAATCAATTTGTTATTAGAGTACCTATGAACTAATATGGTGAGAGCTAACTAATAGTTAGTTGCAAAAAGCAGTAAGTTTTCAATTACTTTATACGGTTCGCCCTGTAACAGCGACCGTGAGTATACAAATTTTTCAATGGTGGAGAGAGAAGAGTTTGTCTGAATCAATGAAGAAAATTTGAGAACGTTTGAAAACTGTTAATATTGCATTAAATGGTTTTACTGTTTTACGAGAAATACTAGAATGGTGACCGACTGATTCGGACTTTAGTTTAAGTGACTCATTACTTGAATGTGACTGAAAACTTTGCAGATTCTCCTGCAATGTTAAGAGTATCGAAAAATACAAATTATCAATTGCATCTTAATCTTCTGAACAATTGTCATAATCTTCCTCAGATTCCAGCAAATCTTGTGAAGGAGATATAGAGTGTAGACTTGTGTAAATGAACAATTCGTTCTTGCACAGAGTGAATATTTAGATCATCGGAATACTTTGTCCGCAAATCGCTTATTTTGGTAATTTTAGTCTTAGCTAAACGACGTGATTTTAACGACTGTTTAAGTTCCATTTTCAGTTTTAAATCCAACAAAACAAATGAAATCACTATACAATTGCGCCACCCCTAAAGAGATTTGTAAAACCGGAATGATAATGAGGGCTAGTGAGAAGGTCTATAACAAAACATGCAAATTAGGATTAAATACAGAAGCTATCTTGAGCTTGAACAAGCGGTGTTCTCAGATGGTTTAGGATTTCGTTTAGATCAAAAACTTGTGTTAATAATTTCGGACGCCGATGACTTGCTTACGACTGCTTACGACAGCCGATTTACGAAGTTTAGTCACCTTGGATTTATCTGCAGAAAAAACTAGATAACTTGTTGGTGATGCAATATTGACACGAACTGAGTAAAATTATTAATATTCTGACTCTGTTAAACTTTCTAAAGTGCGGCTAACGCGAACAAGAGCTTGTAGCTCACCCAATACTGGATTCGAACTAATTAAAATTATTAATATTCCGACTGTGTTAAACTTTCTGAAATGCGGCTAGCGCGAATAACAGTTGGAGCTGACCCAATGCTGGATTTCAACTGATGCCAAATCGTCTCCGTGAATCACACCCGGCTCATAACGGTTTCTTAAAATTAAGCAATCGCCCCCCTGACCCTCGACGTATATAAAGGATGTTGAAAATAAGGCTATTATCGAGCACAAGTTAATTAAATCTAGCCCAAGTACTTCGCTTAAAATAGCATCTTCAGGGGCATCTGAAATAAGCCAAAAAAACGTTTTTTAGATGAAGTAAATTAGTTAACTTCGATAAAAAACTCGAAGTTAATGGATGAAAAAAAGTTTTTTGAGATTAACGTTTTAGACTTACTTCGTCAAAATGTAAACTATACGGCAAGCGTAGAATGTGGAAACATTAAAAATAACATAAAATTGTACAAAACACTACACTAAAACGAGGACAAACAGTTTAAAATTACTTAAAGATTCTACGCTACATTCTCTGTCAGTATCTGGAGGGATAATGATCTAAGCTGAAATGATACGGTGACATGTGACATATTACAACTTTGATAGGCAGTCAAAGTTATGGATCTGTGATCAGCAAATATTAAAATTCTGTATAAGTTGTCATTGGCCAAAGGTCCAACTAGAACTACTACTGAAAAAATCAGCTGATGAAGTATGACATATAGAATATTTTGATTTAAACTAGATTGCATAATCCAGATCTCACACTCACACCCGTCTGTAATAATAAGGTTGTAGGTTTGAGGCTAAATGAAGTGTACATAAAGTGTGAATGAAAGAAATAGACCAAACGATCTATTGGACAGTGGGTAGTTGACTACAATAAAATGGTCTACCAGGCACTGTCAATACTGCAAAACGAGAAGAAAATTGACTATGAAATTGAAATATTAAAATTAAATCAGAATTGAAAGCAGTGTTTAAATGGGTATAGTTCAAGTAGTTCAGTTAAACCTCAAGCCAATGGGGGAACTATAAAACTAATATGTAATAGCATTACTAAAGACCAAATGACCAACAGGTATTGAAATATAAAACTGTGGAATTAGTATATATAGATTATGCAGAGGTATGAAGAGTGAAATCAACTCCAACTGTGGATCAATTGAATCTGAGCAAGCTAGTTGTGTAAATTGTTAAATACAATAGTAATGCTGAACAGAGCTTGAAATTGGTAGATTCTTAATGTATAAACTCAGTGCAGGAAGTCTAGACAGCCGAGCTGGGTCCACTACGAGGTGAAGCTGTAATAAAGTTTTTAAAAATAGGTTTAAATTTAGTACAGTTTAAATTAATTTGAGTATTAAGACAATGAGAGTTTCCATTCGTTTCCCTTGTGATCTCCAAATCTTCCAATAGATCCAACTCCAAATAGTTTTTCTTTCTACTGATGTCATGCAAAATAGATGACCCAGTATTGATGTTGAAATTGTGTTTGCTAGACTCTAAATGTTGACCAAAACTTAAAGAGTTTGGTCTTTTTAAATGTTCTGATATTCTAGTAGATAGCTTTCTAATGGTTCTGTCTACATAAGAGGCATCACAATCATCACACTTTAATTTGTAAATACCACTTTTGTCAAGTGTGTTCTGCCTGTCTTTGGTGTTAATTAAAAAGGAACCTAGTGTCATGTATAACATGATCTGTTTGGGTGGGCTTTCTGTAAATATTGTACTCAAGAGAATCTTTATTGCGAGATATAGTCATATCCAAGAAGTTCTTTTCATTGATAAAACTACCTGAGAAGGTTATTTTTCAACTTTCATTTCTCTTGGGATTTTTCGAATGACTCAAACCGATAATTTGGAAATTACTAATGTCTCATGTTATGAGGACTTTAGAAGCTTATGTCTAGAAAGTTCTTTTGAATACAAGATATCGGCGCCCTACAGATTATTTGATGATACACAAGAATTTTACAAATCTA